ACAGCTCTGGATGAATCTACAAATGCTAGGCAAGTGCTTCGCCACTGAGCTGAACCTCTAGGCCTTTTTTGTTTTTATTTTGAGACAGGGTCTCCCTAAGTTGCTCAGATTGGCCTCCAACTTGTGATCCTCGTTTCTTCATCTTCTGGGTGGCAGAGATGACAGGTATGCGCCACAGAGCCCAGCACCACTGTTTCTTTATATCTTGGTATTTCCATCTCATTGTGACTACGAAAACAGAAGCATGACCACAGGGATACTGGAGAAGTCACAGCTTTTTGAGAAAGAAAAACACCAAACTGTTGGCGAATCCCATCTCTACCTGTTAGTGTTGTGCAATTTAATTTCAAAATCTGAAAATCAGTTCTTGACAAAGTTTTATGTAGTCTATGATACCTAAGCCAAACCCAAGTTGGAGACTGTGTTTGCCTTCATATCACACCTAGCTGTGGGTTAAAATCATGATCCCTTTTATATTTGGGACTTTGGGGCCATCATTAAAAGAGCATCTGTGTCCCTTTAGCCCTGGGACTTAGAAAGGAAAAAAAAAGATATGATTTTTAGGAGATGATAAAAATATACAAGTGGGATGGACACCCGGGACATCTCCAAACAAGGAAATAAATCAGGATGGAGAGCATCTTGAGAATGTGTGCCAAGCTTGAGGGGTCAGGGGGCAGTGGGATGACACCCTCAGTAAAGACTGTATTTTGGTCCTGATGTGCCACATGTCGTATAATGTAAAGGCTGAGAAAAGAGCCAAGGAAGAAAAAAGGCTGAGAGGGCAGAGGGAGTTACAGGAAAATCATTATGGGCTTCATAAAACAGAACAGGCAGGTTAGGGTCTTGCTTCTCGGAGTGCCTGTGGACCAGGAGTGTCAGCTTCCCAGGACAGTCTGTTAGAAATAAAGGATCTCAGACACCACCTCAGACCCGCTTACTCAAACCTGCATTGTATCAAGCCCTGAGTCAATTCATTTGTACTGAACACCTCAGGAGCAGTGGGCCAGAGCATGCCAGAGTTAAGCTTTGGTTGAATTCAGGGACAGTTCTGTGAATGTGATGTCTCAAGTGCTTCTGCAAACAATGGGCTTAGTATTAAAGTGAAATTGTTCACTCTGCTGTCTCCAGTGTGAAAAGACAGACACCAATAACTTGGGATAGGGTTGCTTTTCTGAGGACTTCTTGCCTCATCACTTAGAAAATAGCTACAGGGATAGTTCAGAGCTTCCATACTGGAAACAGTCCTGGTCAGGAGCTGATCACCAAGCTTCTAGTTTCAGCTTCTCACAGCTCTGTGTTCCACTGGAGTCTACTCTGCTCTGAGCTTCACTTTGCAAACCCCCATATTGCAGCCCTAACCAAAGGGGGGAAGCTTTGAGCTGAGACTGATCTCCTGTCTCATAAATCATCCCTGAGCAGGAAATTTAGGATCAAGGCATTATCCTTGTCTGAGGGCTCACTGACTTGACACCTCCAGAACTGAGCTTCCAGATAACCTTAGATTGGTACTCATCCTGGTCCTCTGCATTCTTTTAACGAATCTCACTAGCAGATCATTTCCACAGAGGACTAGCACACTTCTTATATCTATGCAGCACTCAGAGACAGAGCAGTGCTATTACTCTTGTGATCCTCATTGTCACCACCACCATCATCATCATCACCACCACCACCAGCACCATCACCCATGCTTACTCAATTAGGCCACTCGAACAGGAAATATGACAGATGAATAAAATATGGTCACATCTTTAGGAATCACAATAACAAGTTGAAACATTTTTAACCATACAGAAGGGATCAGAGAGAAACGAAGGAACATGGCGTCACTAAAGATAACACAAAATGGCCAAGACAGAAGAGTCAGAGCATGTCCTGCAGGGGCTGTGGGAGTTTGTGAGGAGAGAATCCAGTGAACCCCAGCAAGGCATGAGCTCTCTGAAAGTGTTCCTTGTCTGAATTGATAAACCCTGGAGACTCCACCACAGGAGCTCCCAACCTGACTCAAACTTTGCCTTCTGAAAGTCCCAGAGTCATTCTTGCAGGGATGAAGCAAGACGATTTCAGCTGTTAGGGACAGAACTCACTTTGATCTCAATGTGCCTTTACCTGTCCAGTTGGCACCCAGGGCATTTTGGTTGCTAGGTGCCGATACCTTGGGAAATGGGGTTTCCTGTAGATTTTCAACAAAACATTTATAACTGTCCAAATCTAAAAGAGGATTCATTTATTCATTTCAGGAGTGCATTCACTGTTCAATTGATATTTACTGACTGCCAGTAATAAATGAGCTTTGTGTAATTGTACAAAGCAACTGCTGACATAGGCCTGTCCTCCAGTTGCTCATAAGACAATGTGTAATGACCTTGGATGTGAATTGTGAGCATTCAGCATGAGGGAGATTGGATCAATGAGAATCACATTTTTTTTTTTTTGCATCTAAATCTGCCCCTAAAGCCTTGGTACTTTCCCTGTACAATCTAGCTTGGGGGAAGGTATGCTTTTGGCTTTTGCTACTGGTTCTCTCCTGCATGTTCCAAGTTCTTAAGGGTGAATATGTCACATCTGGGAAGATGTCTTTCCTTTTCTACCCATCATCTAACTAGACTTCCACAGTCACCCCATGCAAGTTCTTTAAAAGTGAACAGACAGCCATGTGGAACCTCTAAAGGCGGAGGTAAATCAGGATGCCATTACATAGGAGAGCTGGGCTTGACCAACATTTTCCAGTTTGGTAACATTAGAAAAGATTCTTCTTTTGCACCATGATTCATCCAACAGCTTTTCAAAAACACATTCACTATTCACTCTGCACATACTTAGTCCAACAAAAGCTTCTTCCTTTTGTAACAATGGGTATATACAATCATAAACTTACTGAACTAAGATCACTCAGCCAGAGGCTTAAATTGGGTCAATTTTTCTAAATCTCTCCATGGAAAAGATTATCCAGCTATTATTTTCTGATGCTTTGGATCAATATGATTTTAAATTATTTTGATACTTTCTAGGTGTCATTCTAGTCATCTTTATTTCTATCTAACATATCTCCCTCTCTCTTTTCTCATAATAAAATCGTTCTTTTTACTAGAAACTGCTTTTTTTTTCTCATTCTAATGCTCACTAGTAGGTGGAGCCCATCTGTTCCTCAGCTGCATGGATGATCCCATGGAGAAGGCTCAATAGATGAGTCTCAGGAGCCACTGAGAAACATCTAGTTCATTAGGGTCATCAGTCTTAAGGATGGGAAGAGACTGCAGTAGCTAGGTGCCACCTTTGTCTCCAGAAGAAATGCACAGGAGGAAGTAGCGAACACAGAGAAAGAAGAGCCAAGAAGAGCAGAGAACAAAAATAGTCTGTGGGATTGGTTGGACCCTGGATCTAGCACATTGGACTCTCAAGAGCAGATGCTTGAAAAGAATTTGGAAGAAAAGCTTTTAATCAATGATGAAACCTGAGAATGGGAACATGCAGAAGTAGAATGGAGGAGACAAAGAAACTGAATTGTGATGTGGTCCATCAGAGACTTGGCCATCATACAGGAGGGGTGAATTGAATATTTGCCATCAGAATTTCCTAGCATCAGTCAAAAATGGCTGACCTGTCACATCCCCCTTATTGAGATACCAGATGCCAGCTGAAGGGGTGACCACAGGCGAGCGGCTCTGTATGCTAAGAGCTGCAGGCCATCACTGCCCCCCACTGTCCCCCACAGCACAGCAGCAGGTCCTTCAGGTGGAACAGATCTTTGTACACCATACACACAGAGCTACTGGAAGCCACCTGACAGTCCAGTTATGTGAGCCAGTAAACCCCCCAATTTCTTGACCCCAGTTACATTTATCTGCCATCAAAAGACCCTATGCTTACCTCAAAGTTAAAGCTGCTCTGGACCTTCAAGAATTCTGGAAAAACCTATACTACTATTGTGGACTAGGGAAGCTGAGACCCATGCCAGGCAACATGGTGGAAATCCTGTTACCTGAGCCCCAACCCGCAGATTTTACATAGCCAGTTAATGAAGATGGGAGATGTGTGTATAATTAGGAGGAGAGTTTAAGATCAAAATCAATAAATAAAATAAAATAAAATCCATAGTACTTCCACTTGAATAAGCTTCACCATGAAGAAGGTTTTTCTCAGTCTCATCTTTGGTCAGAATGATCTTCCCTAACTTACTCATCTCTCTGTGATTCTCATCCTCTCAATAACAGAATGTGTTTATTTCTCGGAGAACAGTGATTTATACATTAATAATGCCCTCTTTGTTCCCACAAGTGACCATGTTCACAACAGTAAGCAGGAGAGGAAAATCAAACCAGCACTCCAGGCACATACTGGGGAGCTAATTAAATTATTTTCATATGTGCTAAAGTTCATTTTCACCCTGGGTAGAGATGCTGTTTAGCTTCTGAATTTCTAGCAATACATTTCAATTTATATCAATGTCCTTTAGACCAGTGTTATTTCAATTTATACCAATGTAGCATAAAATTTGCAGTTCTAGCAGTCCAATGAAAATGATGTGAATGTGCACACATATATCATACTTATGTGTACATAATACAGATATCGGAGATGCAGGGCACATACTCTGTGATTGGTGCCGTCCTCTGTGTTTGTTGCATGAATATGTGTGTGAGGGAGGGAAGGAGGATGATCGCTAGTAAAAACTTCAATCCATATCATGGTCTAAAGCTAATAATAATAATGGTGCAAGAATAAAGTATTATTCAGCACTGTTGTATAATCAAAATGGATGTGATCTCTCGTGCCTTTGAGACCCTGCCTGTTAGGATGTGTAAATTGAGTTTATAAACTTCTCTAGATGGACTATCTTTTGTAGACTGTCTCACATTCTTACTCAGTTGACAGAATCTAAGGCTCGGGTTAGCAGGTTTCTCAGGGTAATTTACAGAAGCAATAACACTGTGGCTGCTGCAGGCCTTGCCCTGAAACTTAGCAAATAACAAAAGCAGAAGCAGGGCGCTACTTACCACCCGAGTGTGGCGGGGGCCCGCAGAGAAGGACGACGCCCTGGCCTTCGCGCACTGACACTGCACTTCTCATTTTGGTTTTAAAATTTTCAAGATCTGATTCGAAAACAAACAAACAAACAAAAAAACTGAATTTCAGGGAAAAAAAGAAAAGAAAATTCAATTTTTCATTCCAAGATGTTCCTGTCTTTTGGAAAACAATTTTGAAGCCTCTTCTCAGGAGCCTCTAGAGGAGAATATTTGCCTTCAGGAAGAAAAACAGGATTTTGATTTCTTTATTATGGCTTCTAGGAAACCAGCAACTCAATATGAATATACAGCCATCAAGCTCACATACTGAGTTAGCATCAAGACAGTGCCCACTATCCAAAAAGCAAAGTACAGGTGAAAATGAGAACACAATTCAAGGGAAGAAATGAAGTATCCTCCCCCAACAATATACAGACTAAGATTTCCACATCTGCTTAGTGACCCACCAGGCCAGGAAGAATTTTGGCTTCATCTTGTCACAATGACCAAATTATCCCTGAATTTGTCCCCTGAAATACTGGATCATAAACAGTCCAGGTAAACTTTATTCTACCTATTGTCATTGTTATTTACAAAGAGATCTTAAAATGTTCAGTTTTGGGGAGCATGCTCTCTCTGTTGCATGTCCTGGAGGGTTTTGTAAAAGATATATCTCACTGGAAAATAACTCAAAGTATAACAGTGAATTTGATCCACATAATCATTTTTATTTATAGATATAATATGAACTCTTTTTATTATCCCCAGTAATTTTTTTCAAGTGTTTAATAAAGTTTTTAAAAAATAACAATCAAATGCAAATACTATTTTTTATTTAACAGTGATCATTTTTTAGAAAACATTGAATTTCTCCCAATGATAACCTAGGACAGCAAATATTGATTCATACTTTCCATCTCAAATTACAGAGAGAGAAATTCTATTTCCTCATTTTAAAAAAGTTTAAGTCTATGGGGGAAAAAGGAAGAAAGCTTTACCATTTCTCCAAACTCCAATTAAAAAAAAAAAGAATACTTGTAAATTACACAGTTAAGGTACTCTGTGATGTCACTTGCTATATTGGAACCACTGTTCTGTCAATTTCTGAAAGAACATATTTACTCGTAGCTCTTAAGGGTTGATATGAACTGCCTAAGAGGTGGCCACACCAAGAAAGGCACGGCATGCATTTTATAATACAACTTGGAGAACTTTGAATTTTCTTTGAAGAGCATAAAAAAGCAAACTAATTATCTCCAAATTGACAAAACCACAATCTGGAGATCTATAAATATCTTACGCACCATAAATCAGCACATCACATGGAAATAAGAAGGCCTATGCATTCCAATATATTGGGTATGGAAAAAAATAGTATTAAATTGCTAGGTCATAATCATGGAGTACAGCAATTCAGCAAAACTCCTATGGGTGCCCAGAAAAGAAGTAAGGAGAGTATTTACTTTAATCAGAGATTACCTGAAGAAGTGATATGACACCACAGCATGGAAACATCTTAAATCTATAACTGAAACACAACATTCTTAAAACACAGAGGCTCATGAAGAAAAACTGAGTTGGAATTGAAGACTTGGACTGTTAGAATGTTCCATAAGGGTAAACTAAGGAAGCTTATCATG